CTTGAAAGGCATTGGCTATATTCTAGATAGGGGTTCTTTGGTGTTTTGTAGTCTTCATATTTTAAAGTTACATTACATATATTTGCATATTTGTAATATTTCATTTTTTAAAAGTCTATATACCTCCTATAAAAAACATCTATATACTCCTCACTTACAGACTATCTCATTATTCAACACTTCACATTTGCAACAATGGTTAATAATCTAATAATGGACTATTTTGTGCATTAATGACATACATCTGGCACTAATGAATGCCAAGGTGCAAGGCAAAAGTGACACTGGCTATGATGGTTAAGGTTAAGTATCACTTTGCTGGGCTATGATTCTCACTGGTTTGGCAGTCATGTAATGATATAATCTGGCAGTTGTGTAATGATGTAGTCATCCTTCATTTTGAGATCTGTTGTGGTCATCCTCCATTTTCACATTATGCTGATATTTGTGTAATGACTCAGTCTTTGGACTCTAACCATGTCAATAAGTGAGCAGTGGGTGTACTTTCAATCCACCCAAACCACACTTCACAATACATAATTTTAAGAAGCCTAAATAATATCTATGCCAGAATGAGTTATCATTATTTCCTCTTCAAAAATATTGGTCTATATGTGATATTTAAGCGTTTTATTGCTCTAGGTCTACATAATATCCAAGAGTTTATTATGTTTTCACTTTCCAGAAAATAACTGATATATTTTAAAATAATTTTCCTAGAAAAGCAATTGACATTGTTTTTCAATGTATGTGCCTCTCCTTGCCTTCTCCCAAACAGTGGCATAAAAAAGAATTTTCTTCTTCTTCTTATAGTTCTTTGGGTTTTAAGGTGTTAAGAGGGGAATTTAGTTATTTTTCAATTAAAGAAGCTTGCCCATTTATCCACCCAGTGCCTCCTCATAGGACTCTTTCTAAATAATTCATCTAGGTACAATTCAGCATTTTAAAAACTATACTTCATCTGGGCCCAATTCCAACATTTATAACTGCAAAATCTATTTTATTACAGTTAATATAACCTAATTAACTAAGTTTGTTAGAGATAATTACATAAGTAAAGCAAGCTTACTCAAAGTTTCTTCAAAAATGGACAAGAATGCCTTTTAGAAATCCATTTATTTAATTAGAAAATTAATGTAAAAAGCAATTTTTACATTTGCAATTACATCTAAGAATAAATGTAACAATAGAGGTACAAGATGACAACTCAGAACAATAAACATTATTGACAGAAACTAAAGTAGATCTAAGTAAATTCTGAGATATATCATGATTATATACTGAAGAGTTGGTACTATATAGACATCAATTCTCTGCAATTTTTCTATAAATTCTATGCAATCATAATTAAAACTCTCCCTGATGTGCATGTGTGTACTTAACAAGCTGATGCTAAAATTTATATGGACTTTTGAAGAACTAAGATAGTCTTGAAGGAAAACAAAGTAGGAAGGCTTTCTTCTACCACACGTGTTGTTGTCAGGTGCTATCGAGTTGGCGCTGACTCACAGTGACCCTATGTACAACAGAATGAAACACTGCCCGGTCCTATGCCATCCTCACAATCCTTGCTATACTTGAGCCCGTCATCGCAGCCACTGTGTCAATCCACCTTGTTGAGGGTCTTCTTTGTCACTGACCCTCTACTAGGGTTATTAAAAGCTTACAGACTGGCCGTCTAAGATACAACTATTGATCTCTTCCTATCTGGAGCAAAGAAGAGTGAAGAAAATCAAAGACATATGTAAATAATTAGTATATGTGTTTATTTAGTCTACTAGCCTGACACCAGAAGAACTAGATGGTGACTGGCTATTACCACTGACTTCTCTGAATGGGATCACAACAGAAATTCTGGATAGAGTGAAGAAAAACACAGAATAAAATTCAAAATCATAAAATAGACCAGACTTACTCGTCTGAAAGAGACTGGTAGAACCCCTGAGATTATGGCCCTTAGATACTCCTCAAACCTGGAACTGAGCTCACTCCAGGAGACTGCCTTTCGGCCAAACAATAGACAGGTCTATAAAGTGACTAATGACACCCATGAGGAAGATACTCCTCTGAACAATCCAAAAAAAGAATGTACAAAATATGTACAAAATGAATAGAATGGAAAGAGGTGTACCATAGCTACATACAATATGATAAATCCCACAAACTTTATATTAGCAAAAAAAGCATGCAAGAAACACAAGAATCCTTATACTATGGTTGCATTACATATAGTTCAAAAACAAGTAAAATCAGAAGAAAATGTTGTTTAGAAATAGATGCACAGGTAGTAAAGGGCAAAGAAGAACAACAGAATGATTAACATAAAGTCGGGGGGAAAAGAAGTCAGTATGATGAGAGGGAAAAAGATATTGTGGAGGCATACACAGAGGCTTCTAAGGAATGGGCAGATTTTGTTTCTTAACCTGCATGACTGGTCCTCAGGTGCTCATTTCATTCTTACTCTTTAAAATGGCAGCATAGTAAAGGGATCAGTGAGCATATACCAAACTAGAGTGCTTGAGCTGTTGAGAGGGCTACATGAGTTGATAATACAAAACATGTTTAGAATAATACTTGGCACTTAGTATTGTATGTTTGTTGGTTATTAAAGAAACTGTACATATGCAGTTATTTTGTAATTTACAACTGAGGGGAAAAAGGAAATCCTTAAGTTGAAACTAAGAAAAACAATCAATACTATTCTCTATGTGCTGCTGAGCACTGATTTAGCATAATTGCACACTGAGAATCACATACAGATAGCTATGGGGAACAATCTTTGCTGCAGGTCTTCTCTACAGTAAGTGGCATGAAACTTCAAAGTTGCTTTTCTCTTCCTTTTTAAAGACAGGTTTGGAAAGAATCCAAAGTAAGCTCTTGTTTAATTTAATTACAAGTTCTACAGTGCCTAAGGCACTTGACTGCTAACCAGAAGGCTGGTGGTTCAAACCCACCAGCCACTCCTCGGAAGGAAGGTTGGGCATTCCTACTTCCGTAGTGATACTGCTTCGGAAACCCAAGGAGGGGTCGCTATCAGTCGGGGCTGACTCGATGGCAAATAACAACAACAGTATTTTATATTATTTCTTAATAATAAGTAAGCTTTTAATATCACAAAAGGTGGCTAAATGGCTTTGACTGATGCCCTAGTGCCTCCCATGAGAAAGGAGGAAGTATTACAAAACACTTAGTAAAATAAAACTATTCTTAATGCATCAAGGCAGTGAAACTCGGCTCATCTTTAAAACTCTAAGTGGCATATGTTATTTAGATCTAGAGAATAATATTTCCAATTCATTTCTCCTAACTTGAATATAAGAATTTTATGAAATTATTTTCCTCTTAAATCATGATTTAAACTTCATAATTGCATAGATCAACTAATAAAGAATGTCTGCCTTGAGCATTATGCTTTTTTAAGAACTAATCAGAAAGCTGGCGGTTCAAACCCACCAGTCACTCCTCGGAAGGAAGGTTGGGCAATCTACTTCCGTAGTGATACTGCCTCGGAAATTCAAGAAGGGGTTAACATGAGTTGCGTCCAACTTGATGGCACACAACAACAACAACAACAACACCTATTTGGGATCAAACTGACCTTTTGATCACCTATATGGGATCAAAAGATTAGATAAGAACCTTACAGGCAATGGAGGAAAGAACAACTCAGAAAAGGAGGGTGAGAATGGCTGCACTACTCAAAGAATGTAATCAATGTCACTGATTCATACATGTAGAAACTGTTGTATTGTTGAATTGTTCTGGGTGTGTATATTCTCAACAACCAAAAATAAATTGTATTAAAAAAATAAATAAAATTAGTAACTATAGCATTATGGCAATAATAAAAATCAGTAAACCTCTCAAACATAAATCTGTGCATGAATATCAAAGTATGGGCATGAGATCACATAAATATATTCATATACATACAGAGAAGAGTCAGGAAAATACACACAAACTGTCAACTGGGTCCATCTGGGGAGTGAAGAATAAAGTGGGAACTTGCAGTTTCCACATACACAGCTACATTGGTTTGGTTTTTTTTTTTTTCTGTTTTACCACAAAGTGTATTATTTTTTGTTTTAGATTACTATTATTCTTTCCCTATAACTCACTGTTTCAGATTAATTACAAAGGTAAAACATATTCATTCTATGTAAAGAACATAGATTAACAAACAAAAAAATAAAATTTATCCATAAATCCACCAATAAGAGATAACATAACCATGGACATCATGATATGAGAGATTACTCTTACCTTTGTAAGGTGTCCCTACAGTTGTTGCATATACATTCTTCTCATATTTCTTCAAACGGTCTTGTAAACTGTGAATCTAAAAATAAAAAATATCCAAATAATATCCTAAGATTCACATGGAAACCACACATAGGGAAGGAAAAGACTGCTGTAGCCACTAGATGTTTTAAATGCTAAAGACAGAATATAGGCAGAAAAAAAAAAAAGTTAATACAAATCGTTTCTTAGATATAACACCAAAAACACAAGCAATAAAAGAAAAAATAAATGAATTAGACTTTATTAAATTTAAAAACTTGTATAAAGAAAACCCATAGAATGGTAGAAAATATCTGCAAATCATATATCTGATGAGGGTCCAGTATCCAAATATATGAAGAACTCTTACAACTCAACAACAAAAAAGACAAACAACCCAATTTAAAAACAGGCAAAAGACTTAAATAGACAGGACTCAAATGACCAATAAGCACATGAAAAGATGTTCAACATCAATAGTCATTAGGGACAAGCAAATCAAAAACACAATGAGGAATCATTTCACACCCACTTATAGGATCCCTATGTT